GCAGTGTAAACACACAAAAATTTCTCTCGGAGTTATATTTTTGAGTGTTTACACTGGAGTAAACAACTGTCAGACATAAATCTCATGCAATAAATGTCAGATGTAAACGTACCTTTAGGCTTTTGACAGGGTCAACCATAATTTAGCATAAATGGAGTCGTACTGCAATGGATTAGTAGCTAACGCTATCTTACAAACAGAACTCAAATGGTTGGAGTAAACCATCACTATTCTAACTCATTTCAAGTTACCTTAGGTGTTCCTCAAGGATCACACCTTGGTCCCTTATTATTCAACTTATTTATAAATGACATCTTCCATTGTTTTCAGTATGACGAAGCACTATTGTTTGCAGATGGATTTAAACGTTTTCCTAATTATTAAAACCATTTATGACGCTTCAGTCTGACCTTGATAATCTATCAAACTAGTGTTCCTTAAATGGCATGGACTTAAATGCCATAAAGTGCTGTGTCCTGCGCTTTTATCGGTCCAATTTACTACTTTTGATTATAACCTAAGTGGTCATATCTTGCAGTCTGTTAACAAATTAAAGACCTTGAAGTTATTCTAGATCCCACTTTAAGTTTCAATCAACACATACATAAGGCTATCCATAAATCCATGAAAATGTTTATTTTTATCAAAAGGCTAACACATCATTTTACTGACACAACTGCAATTGAAGTTTTTTATTGTTCAATAGTCCGACCTCACTTAGATTATTGCTCTTGTCTGGTCTCCATATTACATAACGCACAGCAGAAACATAGAAAATGTGGAACATAAGTTTCTAGATACATAGCCTAAAAATTCGGTGTCCTTTGCGAGTATGGTTTGATAGAGAATTTTCTAAACATCCCCTCTTTGGAAACTAAGAGGAAACAGAGAGACCTGACATTACTTTTCAAAATTATCAATGGCAGATGCAACTGAACTGAACTAACAAAAATGAATCTTTATATTTCAACCCGCTCAACTCGACAGCAACAAACAATTTATGTACTTTTTTATCATTTAAACCATACTTTTAACAGCTGTGTTCCAAGAATGTTAAGATTACCCAACACTCATAATGATCTTGAGATATTTAACACCTCTTTTCATAAATTTATAAAGCAATTACTTAGTACTGATCTTTAATTTTTAATGTTTAATGTTAATATTTTATTCAACATTATTGACTTTTGTCTTTTTAAATCTTTTAAATTCTTTACCTATTTTAGTCTATATGTAATGAATTATACCACGTTTGTATTTCAGCACCTTATATATTTCGCTACATTTTAATTATAATTTAAAATTGTTAGCTATTTCTCAAACGGGTTTGCCTGTAAATAAATAAATATTAATACAGGTTTAGTTACCTAGTCAATTTTCAGCTTGGAACATATTTTATGTTACTATAAATAAATTATATCAATGCATGGGGCTGATAATAAACACAATATGAACTGACATACAATTAAAGATTCAACTGAACCGAGATCCGTTCACTGATCCGGATCTTTCAACTGAGCCTGATTCGTTAATCCAGATCTTTGGAAAGATCCGGATTGCTGATCACTAACCACTAACACTAAACTCAAATTTGGACAGGGAATGCGAGCGTTTGTCATTTACAAATTAATTTAGCAGGTTCTGCATCGAAGCGGCAGAAACATCAACTAATTAGATGCAAAAACGAGGCAGCTCCAGAGCTACCTCTTTCGTGCACCGACTGAATGAAAGGGGTATAAATATGTTGCGTATAAAATCCAAACAAACCAACGGATCTGCCTCGTTCTTGCACCAATCGATAAAGTACCTTTTTGTTACTGGTTTCCATTATAAAAGTGAAATTCGTGAAAAAGTGGAGATGGACCGTAGTCTTCAATTACAAAATAGATTTTCTCTTTTTTTTTTAATTTATGTGATATATTTAACTCATTTTACCTAAAAATATTTTTCACCACCATTACGACGAGATTTACTTTTTCTAAAGTTTACAGGTGTTATAATATACAGCGTGTCCGCTAATTAATGGTACACAGTAAAACTGAAGATTATTTTGGTAAAAATATTGCAATATAGTCAAACTCACCTTAGTGAAAAAAGTTGATAATAACCGAAATACAGGGTGTTAAAATTGAAACTTCAAAAATTATTAATGACTATAATTTTTTATTTCTCAGTATACTTTTACTCAAAGCTCCTCTATTTACATTTAAAACCCGGTCATACATTGCAAAGAAACGTAGCGCGTAGCTATTTCGTAAATGAAACGACATGCGTTTCCTGGTGCGCTGTTGTCAGGTTGTGTAGTTTATCCTTTTTATATTTAAAAACATTTTTTACCCATAACTCACTAATATCAAAAAGTTTTATTAATTAGAATAGTTTCGAGATATATTGCGACACATCAAGCGTCCCCACCAATTCATTTTCGTACCTAGTGCAGTGTTTCCAACTCCGACGCTTTGTGGGCCGAGATGCTTCAATATTTCCCGAAACATTTCTAATAGTAAATCTCTAAATAAAATGACTTGTAACAAAACAAAAAACGTATAAAATGTGTACAAAGTAGATTAATCTAGTTTAACTGCTTTCAGCGCACTTGATATTTTAGCAGCACCTATTTTTACACCATTAGGCAGGGCATTTTTGTACCTATTGTTTTTACATGCATACGCATTCTAAATAACAACTCTGCAAATACTAAGATAAACTATGGCAAACACCATTATTATTCCTGCAAATAAATGCAAGGATTTTAAAAGCGTTAAACGGGTAATGACATTTCTAGACTATTCTATCTTCTTTTACTTGTACTTTTACTTATGAAGACCGCAGCACACTGTAGAGCGATGAGTAACATTTCACTTCTTTTTCTATCTGCACGTTTCCTATAATAGGCGCAGGCTACTGCAGGGTGCTGCGTAACAATTTTCCATATACACTCATTGCCAACGAAAATGCTTAAAAATTTAAATTTTATACTTTTCCTCCAATTTTTCCATTACGGTCCATTTTAGAGAAATCATGTAAAAAAAATTATAGAGATCGATATAGCAAATATTTTTTAGTTCAACAATTTTCTTAAAAATTATAATTTTTAAATTTTGTAAAATTTCTCGAATATGGACCATTTTAGGAAAATTTTGTATAAAACAAAAATTATAAAGAATAATATTAGAAGTAACTTTTATTTAAGAAATGTTCTTCTCTAAACGTAAATAACAGATATATTTCATAAAATATAAAATAACCCCCATAAAGTACCCTAGATGTTCAGTTCACCTCAGATCGGATTAAAGCATAAGTTTAAAATTTAAGGTTTTTTCTTTATCCGTTTTTGAGTTTTCTTCAAAATTTGAAATTTACACTTTTTCACAAATATCTTCAATACGGTCCATTTTAGAGAAATTATGTATGGGACAAGAATTATAGAGAATTATATCACAAATAAGTTTTGTTTAAATAATTTTCCTAAAAATATGAAATTCTACATTTTGTAAAATTTCTCGAATACAGACCATTTTAGGAAAATTTTTTATATAATAAAAATTATAGAAAATAATATAGGAAGTAATTTTTATAAAAACAATTTTCTTCTTCAAACAAAAATAACTAGTATATTCCATAAAATATTAAAACGACCCCTCATAAAGTACCTCCCCAGATGTTCCGACTCTGCCCAAAATCTAATCAGTTCACGTCAGGCCGGAATAAAGCTTAAGTTTAAAATTTAATGTGTTTTTCTGTATTCGTTTTAAAGTTATCTTTAAAATTCGAAATTTACAGGTTTTCTCAAAAAATATCTTGAATATGGTCCATTTTAAATAAATTACGTATGGAACAAAAACTATAGAAAATAATATAGGAAGTAATTTTTAATAAAATAATTTACTTCTTTGAACGAAAATAATAAATATATTTTACAAAATATAAAAATAATCCCTTATAAAGTTTAAAATTTGGTGTTTTTATTTGTATCAACACACACACACACACACACACACACACACACACACACACACACACACACACAGACACACACACACACACACACACACACACACACACACACACACACACACACACACACACACACACACACGCACGCACGCGCGCACACACACACACACACACACACACACGCACGCACACACACACACACACACCCACGCACGCACGCACACCTTTTTGACCTATGAAAAAAAACTAAATTTTGTAGCTAGAAGCAACTGGTAGTCTTTAGCCGGGAGCATCTAATACTCTACATATTTAAGTTTTTCATTGATTTCTCTTGAGAGGTCTGATTTTATTTATCTTGTTTGCGTATAATATTAAGGTGTAAACCATTGAATATATCACTCTTGTGAGAGCTTCATGATATAAAACAATTTGGATTTCACTGAGAGGAATGTGTATATTTCTGTCTTTGTCAGTCATTGCTTTTATTAAAAAAAAAAAAATTAATAAGGATACCATTGAAGCTGCTCCAAACCTGTATACTCCGAATGATTTGTTGAATATCTGGACACTGCTATATAATCTTTTTAAATTTATACTTCCTAAGTACATAATCTAAGAAGTAATGTTTATTTAGTAATAAATCAGGTTAGTATACTGTGTTTCAGTTTAGAAATTTTATGCAATAACAAGAATGCAATACCTATCTTTTTTTTATAAAACGTTTTTTATAAGTAAACATTTTCTTTATAAATTAAACATTTTTAAATAAGTATTATGGTGTTTCTTTTGACGTTATCTGGTGACGTATTTATCACGTCTTTGATCTGTGACATATTGTCGTCATAACACGTCACTAATACGTAATTAATTTAGTGATTTTGACATGTATTTCACGTGAAAATCACCTATCTGTGCTAGCTGGGTAAGTATATAATTTTTCTCCTACCTATTTTTAACATCCTTATCGTTCACGAATATCCTACTTGATTTAAAATATATTTGTGTTGTGGAATATGTCTATCCTATTTCTTCCTAGGTATATTGTAGCATACACATACACAGGTCGTAATACTCTTTGACACAACGTCTTCAAATTTATACATATTATAATATTTTTCATTCAAACAAAAACATGTAGAAATGTCTCATTTCAATTTAATTACATCATTTTATAAGTTCACAGTTCATTTAACACATCTTAATAAGTGTATTCACTGGTATTACAAGCCATATCCATAGTGTTCACAATTTCTTGCTTCTCACACCACCTTTCGTATTTACAAACAAAGCTATTAGACCAAGGGTTATTTTGCAAATTAATATTTTGAACAACTTGCAAAGCACTTAAAACTTTATCGTCAAGTTCTTCTAGATCATTCCCTTCTAAATCGACAGTCTCTGCCCATCTCAAATCGTCTAAAGCCATTTCACCGATCCTTCGAATGTTATTATTGTTCAACAACAATTCTTTAACGAATTGAACACCCCTTAGAAAATTATTATTAATTTCCGTAAAATTATTGAAGCTTAAATCCAATAAAGAATCTTGGTACCGTTGGATGTTTGATAAAGCTTCATCGAAATATTTGTAATCATCAAAATAGTTTCCGAACTGATTGTACCCCAAATCAAATTGTCTGATATTATTTGTGAGATAAAACAAATCTTGTGGTAGTTCCTTGATCTTGTTGGAATTCAAATCTAAAACTTCCAAATCTGATAAGTTGTAAAAAGCATTCGGATGTAGTGTAGTTATAGAATTTCCTCTCAAACTTATTTTGAAAACGGTTAGATTTGCGAAAACGTTTTCCGGGACTATTTTGATCCTGTTAAAATTCAAGTTGATCAACCTCAAATTGGATACGTTGCGAAAAGAGTGAGGTTCCAAGATTTCCAAATTGTTCGAGTTGATATGGACGTTTCTTAAATAGCTCAAATTCTGGAATGTCCCTGTCTTTAAAATTGGTAATTTTTCGAACTCTATTGATACATCTGTCACCTCTTCTTCATTGTTAACTGTGTCGGCTTGAAGCAGAGTTACGGGTTTATCATTTCTGTATATCTTTATTGTGATGTAGTCAAAATATTGTGAATTAGTATTCGGGGCACAAAAACAAGCGATTACTATTAAACTAATGAACAACATTTTTGAAAGAATAATAACGATACACTGAATAGTCGTTTGATATCATTTCAACAATTAAACATTATTATCTCGTAATAGTATATTTATTTTATTTTTCTTAATAATAACAATCGTTAGTAGACAATTTATAATTGCGTTTTTTTATTAATATTAAATCATTATCACGATAATATCACAGTCAAATAAGGTCAACAAAATATAAACATGGGAATGAGTGACAATAAATTGAATATTTGCAAAAACTGTTCTTTTTGCCATCTAAACACAGTGTGAAAAGTCACTTAACCCGGCAACGAACAGGTAATTAAAAGTTACGTGATCGGTCAAGTGGGGTCCATTAGATATACCCGGCTAGCACAAAAACATCCCATCTACGTTAATAAGCTGCAATTTTAGGCTCTTTAAGCTCGCATGCAATATACTTTTAATGTTACCCCAATATCCCTGCAACGCCGAATGTCCGCAACGGCAAGACTATTATAGCACATCTCATAGAGGTTACAAAGTGAAGTTCTAAAAACATCACGCTAGCACTTTTACGGTACTTACACCAAAAGTTGCTCTGAAACGTTCTATAGATGTTATAATGTGAAATAGTTCTATAGCACGAACTATATTTGTGAAAATATTTATTTTAAATTAAAAAAATAATTCTTCCTAATTTCTTTTCCTTGTTAAATAAAAACGATTCAAATTGAGAAATTATAAAAAATAACTTTTTTTTTTAATTTAAAATAAATATTTTTACAAGTATAATTAAGAGGATTCTATACCCGTCCGCCATATTGTAAAAGTTAATGTTCAAATTGCGGGCTTAATACTCACCAAAAAAAATCTTTTTTGTATCCGAGCTTCATATGCATCGTAGATTGGCGCATGATAACTATTTTTTATTAACATAAAAAAATAAAATGAAAAATAATAAAAAAGTCGTATATGTATACAGGGTGTGCCAATAAAAACTCCCAGGCCGGATATTTTGGTAAGTAATAGAGATATTTTAATTCTGTAAAAGTCAGTTCATAGAGCGCTAAGAAAGCTTTAGTTTTAGATATAAATTAATTTTAAATAGGTCAATATTTAGATAGCGCTGCGCTCAATATATTTTTTTCGATGGGAGGATCTTTCTTATATAACGCATCTTGTAAAAAATGCATTTTTAAGCAGATTTTGTTTCACAAACTAATTCGATACATTTAGCCATTTTTTATATACAGAGTGGGTCACTCAAAATAGTTTCATTTTGTTTTCGGCATTAATCATTGGATTTTTAGAAAATGCTAAAACAAGTCCGTAATACGCATACGTATTTTACGAATTCTAAAAATACGCATAGTGTGGACCCGACCTTAATACATTTTTATAGAGTATATTATTGCGACTAATATAATGACAATTAATAACAAAAAAATTTTAACGCAAAAAAGCGGAAACATGCGGAACATATTTATGCTTAAGCATCATTATAAAGATACAAAGAATCGTTATAGTCATCAAATTAATTTAAGACTGATTAAGAACATTACTATAAATTAAGATTTTAAAGAAACCTTACAGAATTTTGCCATATATTGTGCTACGTTGAATTCGTATTGACGAAGACAACTAGCATTGGGTTCGTAATTAACAGGCTAGCTCAAATAAAAATAATTTTTTTTAGTTTTTTTAGTTTTTACACCCTTCGGATCTCCCGTGCTACACCCTAATCCCTCTATAGCCTGGCAGCACTGCTGTCTGCGGCTTATTGTACCACCATTTGAAGGTCCTACTACTTTCTCATTCATTCAACAATTCACTCCCTGATTCATCGTCATTCATTCCACGTCGTCGGTGGTTAACCGCTAGTCGGATGTCGGATGAGTCCCATAGTGACACGGCCCATGGTGGAACCTCCCAGCGGTCACCCATCCACGGCGTGACCGGAGAAATCACTGTTTAACTGTTGCGAGTGTGTTGATGCACACTAAGCTCGCAGCTAGCCTCTCCGGCAAATAAACACTTTACTATTTCATCTCGGTATATTTCCTTTAGGTGTTTAGAGTTTATTCGTGTGTATAAGAAAAGATAGAGGAAAGGATACAATACAACGTTAGCAACAATGCCAAATAAGCAGTGGCGTACTAATATATAACAAACGTGCAGTTATGAAAATAACAGAAGTTGTTAAATAATACCAAGGCGTATCGATACAGATTGGTGTACACTGTTGGTAAGTATAAAATATATATTATGAATTTAAGTAATTATTAGGTGTTGTAGCTTATATCGTATAGCCTTTGTTACTTTTGCTTCTCGTTGAATCATGCAAAAAGATAGGAACAATCTTACTTGATTTTTTTGTTGTCTAACCAATTCTTCATTTGTTTACTGCCACTGTAGAAAGGTTCTATTGGAGCTTGGGTACCACTGTAGGTAAAACAATTGACCATGCAACCATGCAATTAAGTCATTAATTTATCCCTAAGCCAGGCAGGTAGCAAGAGAGACCAACTAATATTAAGGAGGTGATGAAAAGTAGAGTAGATTGAAGGATGAAGTATAGTCGGATTATAAGATAAGAAAAGAAGGCCTAAAAGCAAGGAAAAGGTAGATATTTTAGTATAGCTTAGTCTATGACTTAATTAGATGTGTTAGTTACTTACCACGGTTCTAATGGGGCCTTAATGTGTATTTTAATAAATTCTTGTAATTTCTTGATTAGCAACGAATCCACAAGCGTTTTCCTTGAAAACCTAACAATTTGCTAATATTTTATTTCCCTGGGAAACTTATTTAAAATCCGCAAAAACGAATATGCACCCACGTGCAGAAATGCAAGTTTCTTTTTCCCAGACGCGGGAAAACGGGAATAGAAAAGAAGAAATTATGTTTGACATAACCAACTGTCAACCCTTTACCTGAAGGGCTTCTAACCAGATATTTTGGCTACTGGAATAATCATAGAGTCTAACTAAGGCTAATAATATCAAAAAAGAAGAAATGACAGAAGTTATCATCTTCGCATTGTTTACAATTTAATATATGCTAAATAATTATATTTAAATCTAATATTATAATAACATATAAATTGATATTTATTTCAGAAGCTGCTGCAGATGAAGATTGGCTGGACCCTTAGATAAAAGAGACCAGAGATATAACATACACCGGTTTTAAACCTGCGCAAATGTTGCCAATTTCTAAAGAAGGATTAACGGAGTGGGGGAACTGGGCGGCGACACGCGGCGACCCGAACTCTGTGACAGGGACCGGACTTTGTTTATTAGCATCTTAATGAACTATTAGGTTTATTTAAAAGGTGTTTAATCGAATTTTGTATTATGAAATCAAATTATCGTGATTTTTTAATATCAAACAGATGCCACGACATTTTATGTAAAGAGAAGACCTTTTATAGAATATTTCGTTAGCGTTTATTTACTACGTACTTTTCTGCAAGAGATTACAGTAAAATGTTGAAATAGAATATATTGTTAATAGAGCAAAAAATGTTACTCATTGTCTACGAGTATTATAAAAATAGCATGTGCGCAGGCTAATACCGCAAATCTACCCTTATGAGTTGAACATTATATTTTTTCTACGGCTATTACATATTATTAAAAATTAGTCAAAATGAGAAAATGCTGTTTTGTATTGTAACCTCAGAAAAAGTATATTAAGGCTTCTTTCTTTAAGAATATTAATTATTATAAAGGATGAGTCACATAAAACTCTAGAAATGCATATATCTGAAACCAGATAACATTTTAAAATTTAAATCTATTAAACGTCATTTGGTCGCTAGGGATGAGTGATTATCGAAATAAATTATCGATAATTGAAAATAATCGATTATTTTCGATCAATAGATTATTTTCAAACGATATATTTTTTGTCATTTCCTTTAAAATCGACTACTTGATTATCTTTGAAAAATCAAAAATAATCGATTAATTAAAAAGCCAATTAACCGATAAATCAGTGTTTACAAAATATAATATAAATAGAATTATCGTTTATTTTAAATAATCGATTATTTTTAAATAAACCATTTTTTTTCGTCCATGGAAATCGATTTAAAAAAAAAACAGAATGATCGATTATTTTAAATAATTAATTATTTTCGATCAATCGATTATTATCAATAATCAATTTTTATTGTATTTCCTTTAAAATCGTTAATTCGATTATCTTTGAATAACCAAAAATAATCGATAATTCCAAAATAATCGCCTAATCGAAAATAATCAATTAATTAAGAAGCCGATTCTATGATATATCGATTATTACCAATAATCTATTTTATTGTATTTCAAAAATATTCGATTAATTAAAAAGTCGATTAATTGACAAAACGATTTTCAAAAAAAAAACAGAATGATCGATTATTTTAAATAATCGATTATTTTCGATCAATCGATTATTATCAATAATCTATTTTTATTGTATTTCCTTTAAAATCGATAATTCGATTATCTTTGAAATATCAAAAATAATTAATAATTCCAAAATAATCGCCTAATCGAAAATAACCAATTAATTAAGAAGCCGATTCTATGATAAATCGATTTTCCAAAAAATAAAACGAATTATCTATTATTTTCTAATAATCCTTTTTTCATATTTCCTTTGAAATTGATTATTCGATTATCAAAAATAATTGATTATTAAAAATCTGATTATCCAATAAATCGATAATTTTAAAAAAATAACCAAAATATCGATTATGTAAAATAACCGATTATATTCAATCGATTATTTTCATATAATATCTTTGAAAAATCGAAAATAATCAAATTATTAAAAAACCGATTAAACGATAAATCGATTATTTTGAATAAATCTACTTTTTTTGTATTTCCTTTAAAATCGATTAATACATTATCTTAAAAAAAAAACGAAAATAATTTATTAAAAACAGCGGATAAATCGATTTTCATTAAAAAATATCAGAATTATCGATAAATAGATTATTTTTGTAACCCCTATCGGTCGCTTGCTTTTATCTGAGCATTTAGCTCCAA